TTTCCGGAGCTCATCGGCTTCTCCATACAACTGCGTTTTTCATCCTCAAACAAAGTTCGATTTGCTTCATCAAGGCCCACTCATGTCACTCCTCAATGCTAGGACCTTGCTTCGTACAGCTAGATCTAGGGTTGTTTAGTGGTTGATTGGAAATGTCGCACGGTGAGCCGAACGGTTTTAACTAATTAAAAGATGGGGGTTCGGATGGCTAAGTAAGTGAGTCGGTCCAGATCTAGTGAGTTTAGACTCAACAGTAATGTTAAGCAAATGTCGGTGTTTGACACCGTTAACCAAACTGCCCCTCTGGGATCAATAAAATTGTAATTTATAAATGTATCTCTTTAATGGTTCACTTTGAAGTCAGTATTCCATGAGTAAGAAACGCGAGTGATTCTTGAATTAAAAAGTGGAGACCTCGAACCGTCATTTCAGTTTGGGAAATTTTCTGCGCTCGTCCGACGCAAAAACATAGGCCTAGATTTTTTGGCGAATAACTTTCGATCCCGTTTACTTTTAGCCTCGTTTCTCTAAACGGCATTCTTCGAGAGGAGTGGTCCCGGCTTAACTCCAAAGAAATAACACTAAGAGTTTGTAGTCGGAAACAAAAACGGAAGTAGGGTAAAAAAGCTGTCTTCGGTATTTTTTTGTCGTTCGAATTTAGAATATTTTCATCCTGATTTTTTTCTTCATCGGGTGGCATTGTGACCCTGGCAACTCAAGCCAGCTTTTTTAATCGGCTTCCGTTTGTGTTTCCGATTGCGAGTGTTATTTCTATGGAATAAGGCCGGGACCCCTAATTCTCCCAAAGAGTGCCCTCTAAACGCGTGACAACCCCGTTTTGTCTTTTCGAGCAATACTCATTTCAACATTACAGATTGGTGTGGAAGGGCACTTTTCCTGAGAGGCAAAAATAAAATATTGCTCGATATGAGTCAGGCGGAACTATTTTCTTACGGATATTGATGTAAATGGAACAAGACCGGGAACGGTAGCTCGATAACAATCGATGTCATCTGTCCCAAGTCATCCGTTAAAAAAAGCGTGTCTTTTCGTTGGACGGGCTACAGCACGGGCAAAAATAGTTTTGGTGCGGACGGACATCCCCGCACGGAACCTCAATTTTTAAACCGACTGCGTCACTGTCGTTCTGTAGGTATTAATTTTAAATAGGGAGTGTATACAGACCCGGTAACCGGGTACAAAGTCACGAAGTATACAGATCTGGTAGGGGAACTCTTTTGTGAATTCGGAAAGTTTCAGCGCCCTCTTGGCTCAGGTTAGACCTAGACCTAGGTTCTTCTAGATCTAAATCTATGGCCTAGGTCTAGATAGACGCACATAAATCATTGATCTAGTTTCGAGGTTAGCCTAGATCTAGATCTAGATCTCTAGACCTAGATCTAGATCTCTAGACCTAAATGAAAATTGCGGATGTCTTTTTGATGAACGATCGTTTTTCCTCCGTTTTTGGACTTGGAGGAATCACAATTTGAAGAAAAGAACAGTGTCATAATTTCAATCGAGCAGAGTCTCTCTCTACTCTCTCTACTCTCTCTCTCTCTCTCTCTCTCTCTCTCTCTCTCTCTCTCTCTCTCTCTCCCTCCCTCTCTCTCTTATAATTTAGCTCGCTTGGTCTTTTGCGGTCAGTCACGACTTCCATCGGTTTTCTTAGGTTGATTGCACACCACCCCTCGTTTGTGCTCAGAAATTAGGAAAAACATAAACATTTGCCAAGCGGAAGCCGCGTTGTCTCTGATTCGAAAGCGAAACTGCATACAGTAGCGAACGTGTTGTCTGTGCCTTGTTGATCTGAATTCAGAACCTAAGGTAATGATCAGATGGCTGTGGTGGTTTATTGTAGCTTAAAGCTGGGCAGTGTAGGCTAGTATAGATCTAGATCTAGACTCTAGATGTTGTTACGTTGTATCGTGTAGAACCAAACAAGACTCAGAGAGTCTCCCGAGAGAGAGAGACCAGATCTAGACCTAGAATCTAGACCTAGGCCTAGGCTTGCCTCTCCTTCTTAGTAGTCCCTAACTTATTATAACTAACTAATGTCCACTGGAACTGCATGCAATGTACTGGCCTTTGTAGAGCTAAATCTAAGTTTGTTTGAGGTTTGATGGGAATAGCACACAGTGAGCCTAACCCTAATTACTAATACTAATTTAGTAAAACAAATTTAAGCTTCCTCTATTACTGAGTATTGGCATTCACTAATTAATGACTAGATCTAGATTCTAGATCTAATGGCAATGTTACATCTATCTCAGCTGGGCACTTTGTAGAGCTAGATCTAGGGTTGTTTAGAAAAGAGTTTGATTGTATATCACACGGTGAGCCGAACGCTTAGTCAACCAAGTAAGCTTCCTATTACTATTATTATCATTACCGACTTAGAATGGCATTCTCTAACAAATGACTATAATGGCAATGCTTAATGCTAGATCTAGGGTTGTTTAGTGTTTGATTGGAAATGTCACACGGTGAGCGGAACGGTTTTAACTAATTAAAAGTTGGGGGCTCGGGTGACTAAGTGAGTAGGTCTAGATCTAGATCTAAAATCTAATGAGTTTAGACTCAACAGTAATACCCTTGTGGGATCAATAAAACTGTAATTTGTAAATTTATGTCTTTACTACTTTGAAGTCAGTATTCCATGAGTAAGAAACGCGAGCGATTCTTGAATTAAAAAGTGGAGACCTCGAACCGTCATTTCAATTTGGGAAATTCTTTGCAGCTCGTCCGACACAAAAGCCATTCACTAACAAATGACTATAATGGCAATGCTTAATGCTAGATCTAGGGTTGTTTAGTGTTTGATTGGAAATGTCACACGGTGAGCCGAACGGTTTTAACTAATTAAAAGTTGGGGGCTCGGGTGACTAAGTGAGTAGGTCTAGATCTAGATCTAAAATCTAATGAGTTTAGACTCAACAGTAATACCCTTGTGGGATCAATAAAACTGTAATTTGTAAATTTATGTCTTTACTACTTTGAAGTCAGTATTCCATGAGTAAGAAACGCGAGCGATTCTTGAATTAAAAAGTGGAGACCTCGAACCGTCATTTCAATTTGGGAAATTCTTTGCAGCTCGTCCGACACAAAAGCCATTCACTAACAAATGACTATAATGGCAATGCTTAATGCTAGATCTAGGGTTGTTTAGTGTTTGATTGGAAATGTCACACGGTGAGCCGAACGGTTTTAACTAATTAAAAGTTGGGGGCTCGGGTGACTAAGTGAGTAGGCCTAGATCTAGAAATCTAGATCTACAATCTAGTGAGTTTAGACTCAACAGTAATACCCTTGTGGGATTTTTAAAAACCCTGTAATTTGTAAATTTATCTCTTTACTACTTTGAAGTCAGTATTCCATGAGTAAGAAACGCGAACGATTCTTGAATTAAAAAGTGGAGACCTCGAACCGTCATTTCAGTTTGGGAAATTTTTCGCAGCTCGTCCGACACAAAAGCATAAGCCTAGATTTTTTGTCGAATAACTTTCGATCCCGTTTACTTTTAACCTAGATTCTCTAAACGGCACTCTTCGAGGGAAGTGGTCCCGGCTTAACACCACAGAAATAACACTAAGACTTGTAGTCAGAAACAAAAACAAAAGTCGAGTGAAAAAAAAGCTGTCTTCGATAATTTTTTTTCCTTACTTCAAGTTTATTATTTTTTTAATCGGCTTCCTTTTTTGTTTCCGATTGCAAGTGTTATTTCTACGGAATTAGGCCGGGACTACTTCTCCCGAAGAGTGCCCTCTAAACGAGTGACAACTCCGTTTTGTCTTTTCAAGCAAAACTTTTTTCAACGTTATATATTGGTGTGGAAGGGCATTTTTCTTAGAGAGGCCAGAATATTGCTCGATATGAGTCGGGCGGAACTATTTTCTTACGGATATTGATATGTAAATGGGACAAACTGATACAAGACCGGGAACGGTAGCTCGATAACATTAACAATGGGTGCCATCTGTCTCAAGTCATCCGTAAGAAAAGCGTGTCTTTTCATCGGACAGGCTACAGCACGAACAAAAATAGTTTTGGTGTGGACGGACATCCCCGCTCCGTCCCTCATGTTTAAACCGACTGCGTCAGTGTCATTCTGTAGGTATTTATTTTAAATAATGTTTCCAAGCCCTCTGACCTGGTAACCGTAACAGTTTTGGTCAGGTCCATTTTTCCCCTTCTCTTTCCCCCGATCTCGGAATCTTCGCGGACGCAGTATCATGTCTGGAGAGGAGCAGCGCCAGCCATTTGCCAGCGACGAGGAGACGGTGAGTTCTCACGAATCCTCAAACCCGCACACACACACACACACACACACTCGCGCGCGCGCTTGGCAGTCGGACCCGAAATAGGTATATTTCATTAAAACATTTCAAGTCGAAAGTCGGGCTTGAGTTGTTTTCTTATTCGTACATTCATATAATATAAGTGAGACAAATTATCGATAAAAGACCAATGCGACAGCCATATATACATATATTATACGCACACAAACACACGCGCATGCATGCATGCGCGCACGAACGCACGCATGCACGCACACACTCAGCAAAAAAAGACAGGACGAGAGAGGGGAGAGAGAGAGAGAGTCAGGAGCACTTCCCGGTGTGTCCCGTAGGTCTGCGCTCATAGAAAAAACTCACTTTGGGCGTATATTTTTCCAGTCTAGCGGAAAATACAAATCATCGCCAAACTTTTCGTGAAAGAGAAAAAAAATATTTTGAAAATAAGGGGCAAAGATGTTATTACCCCATAACCTCTAATCCCCCCCTCTCTCCCCTCCAACCCACACCCTCTTTCTCTTTCTCTCTCTCTCTCTCTCTCTCTCTCTCTCTCTCTCTCTCTCTCTCTCTCCCTCTCTCTCTCTCTCTCTCTCTTTCTCTCTCTCTTCCCCTTTCTTTCCCCTCTCTCTCTTCTGTTCTCTCTCTCTTCTCTTCTCACTCTCTCTCTTTCTCTCCTCTTTTCCTTCTCTCTCTCTCTCTCTCTCTCTCTCTCTAGGTCATTAGAACCAGAAAACCTTCCTCTATAACACACTGATAATCGGCATGATTCGGAAAGAAAGAAATTTGTTGAAAATACCGTTTAATGGTATATTATCGAAATTGTCAAATATCGATACCCGATTATTTAAGAATCGCACGTCATATCTCACACTGCAAACATTTTAAACCACTGTACGGCGCTCTGTTCCTTAAAACTTATGTTTGTTAACCTAAATATGGGAATTTGAGTTCTAAGCCTAAAGATTTTTAACGGAGAGCTAAAAAATTTGAGTAGTAATGTACATATAGTAATCGATACTAGTAGCCACGTGGACAAGCTGTTTACAAATGAGAGATGAGAGAAAGTGGTGGTGGGGAAGCAGTAAGAAGAAGAAGAAGGAGAAGAAAAAGGAGAAGAAGAAAAAGAAGAAAAAGGAGAAGAAGAAGAAGAAGAAAAAGGAGAAGAAGAAGAAGAAGAAGAGGAAGAAGAAGAAAAGCCAGCCTTAACCATTATTACACTACAGACCGAAGTACAGACAAACATGTTGGTGCACGAACAAGAACACAGAAAAAAAGACGAGGTCGGTGTGTCCGGTGTGTCCCGGAGAGGTCTGCGCTCATAGATAAAGACGCACTGTGTGCATATTTTATTTTAGTCGCCAAACCCTTCGTGAAAGAGAAAGACAATCGTTTGAAAGTGAGAGGCACATTAAGTTGTTATCTCCCCATACACCCTAAACACCCCCCCCCCCCCTCTCGTATTCTCTCTCTCTCTCTTTCTTGCTCTCTCTTTCTTTCCCTCTTTCTCTCACTCTCTCTCTGTCTCTCTCTCACTCTTTCTCTCACTCTCTCTCTCTGCCTCTCTCACTCTCTCTCTGCCTCTCTCCCTCTCTCTCTCACACACTCTCTCTCTCTCTCTTTCCCTAGCCATCTATCTCTCTCTTTTTCCCTCTCTCATTTCTTCTCTCTCACTCTTTCTCTTTCTCGCTCTCTCTCTCTCTCTCCCTATCCATTTACCTCTCTCTTTTTCCCTCTCTCCTTTTTTCTCTCTCACTCTTTCTCTCTTCTCTTTCTCTCTCTCTATCTCTCGCTCTCTCTCTCTTTCGCTCTTCCTCTCTCGCTCGCTCTCTCCATCTCTTTGTCTTCTTCCCTCTCTCTACTTCCCTCTCTCTATCTCTCTTTCTCTCTCTCTCTCTGTTTGTCCCTCTCTCTCTCTTTTGTTCCCACTCCCCCACCCCTCTCTGTCTGTCTGTCTGTCTGTCTGTCTGTCTGTCTGTCTGTCTGTCTGTCTGTCT